CCATGAAGGAACCAGAGCCTCAGCGAATATTAGCCATTGATCCTCATCATTATTCTAACTTAAGCAAATTGTTACGAGTGACTGCGCACGTGTTTGATTTCCTTACTAAAGTAGGAATTCGACATAAATTTCCCAATCCTGTCCACTATTGGATCAAGCGTGCACAGGAAGAGACTTACGGAAGCGAATTTGAGAATCTTCCGGATAACCTCACTAAGTCTCTGGGCATCTGGTACGATGCCAACACTCATAACATACTACGATGTGGAGGACGTTTGCTGCATGCAAAGATTGACTTAGACACTAAGAATCCCATTCTTTTACCTCGTCACCACATCATAACTAAACTTCTTGTCTTACATCACCATCAATATGGTACACTACATGGTGGAGTTTTAGATACTCTCACCGACCTTAGACAAAAGTACTGGCTTCCTCAAGGTCGTCAGACTGTTAAGACCATTATTAAATCTTGTGTAATCTGTAAGAGATACGACGCTAGAGTCTGTCCTTACCCAGGACCTCCCCCACTCCCAGAAGAGCGAGTGGTTCATCTTCGTCCTTTCGAAACCACTGGAGTTGATTATACAGGAGCCCTACTCCTCACTGGTAACCCAGATAATATACCAGTGAAGGCGTACATTTGTCTCTTTACATGTGCTACAACCAGAGGCGTGCACTTAGAGGTCACCCCAGACATGAGTGCTGAAGCTTTCATTCAAGCTTTCCGCAGATTTGCTGCCCGCCGATCATGTCCTAGATGAATGATATCAGACCACCCTGAAGTACAGTCAGTCTTACAAAGAAGACAATGTCACTGGAAATTCATAGCACCGAGAGCCCCTTGGCAAGTTGGGTTCTATGAGCGAATGGTAGGCACAGTCAAGAAGTGTCTAAGGAAAACTTTACACCGACAAAAGGTCAGTTACTCAAAACTCCAAACTATAGTTGTGGAAATCGAGGCGCGAGTCAATAACCGCCCAATCACCTACCTGTCTGATGATTTCACCCAGAGAGAACCACTGAGCCCCTCTCACTTGATCCATGGAGGTCTACTGAGCCCTCTCATCCCTTTAGCCGAAGAGGACCCAGTAGACCCGTCCCATGTGACCAGAGGAGACTTGGTGGAAAGCTACCAGCATCTTTCTAGAGTTATTAACAGGTGGAATGAGGTGTGGACTCGAGAGTACCTCACAGCTCTACGAGAGTACCACTACGGAGCTTCGAGTCCTTACAATAAGGTGCAATTAAAGCCAGGAGACCTAGTGCTAGTCGACAGTGATGGACCAAGGTCCGAGTGGCCTATAGGTAAAATTGTCACCATTCATCCAGATCGACAAGGTGTCCTAAGAGTGGTTAAAGTCTTATGCAGAGGCAACACTACTCTGAAAACTTTAGAGAAGCTGGTTCCCCTTGAACTGACTGAACAAGAATATCAGCCAGATCCAGTTTCCCCAGTAATTTCAGAGGACAATGAATTTGTTCCTCCAAGCAACCGCCCCACTAGAGCTGCAGCTCAACAATGTAGGCGGAATTTGCAAGCCTATTACAACTCTGAAGAAGAGTAATTTCCTTCACTTCCCACTGAGATAACTATGATGATGCTACGATGTGATATCACGTAACAAAACATTACATGTCACTATGACCCAGGATATCGCATCACCGTAGATTCTGTTAGTTTAAATTGGGAGAGTTAAATTCTATAAATATTGTGTAGGCTACAAGCAACATGTTTCATTTGACATGTAAATAGCAAGACTCAAGTTCTTGTAAGTCCTTGATAAATCCGGGACGTTCGTTATGTGTGTACTAACATACTAACATATTAACATACTAATGTACTAATCTTAATATCACTTCGGGATAGGTCAGTACAACACAGTACACTACGACCCTAGAATCCTCCCCCCGGAGTTATGTTGGATATTTCCAACACCGAATACAACACTGTTGTATTCTCATTACTTATTACTAACTATACTAATTATTGTAGTAAGTAAAATTAACAACACGTAGAATTCTCATGTACTAATAATTTCATCTGTGCAGTAGGCTAGAATTCTCACGTCACCTGACGCCAGTATTGCGTCAGATTTCCTTACAGTAAACACATTATATCCAATGTATGTGAGAATTAAATTCGATTCTCTATACCTAAGGCATTCTGTATGATAACTAATTGCAGATGAATTGACTTCCAGCTAAAAGCCGAATAGAGCGTTGGAGTCATAGCGTCTATCTCGTAATAACGTTAACGTCACCAGTGAATGCCATGGGGAGACATTAATTCCTCTCCCTTATATATTTACTATTCTTAAATTGGTAAATAATAATAATTTCCTCCTCTAAATAATAAACCCGTCCAGTCTTCAACGTTTCAAGCGTAAATGCGAGAAATATTAATGTTCGTGACAATAATTTGTTTTATGAACGCGGATGCGGCGTGGGTAGAGGAAGGCCAACTCAGTACACGTGGAGAGCCGCTTAGAGGCAGACCTGCGCATACCGTACTCATAAGGAGACGCCATTGTCCAGCCAATAGGGCAGACGTTATCCATCCTCAGATGAAAGTCGCCACTGTGAGGCGTGAATAACCTTGCAGATAATATCTTCAGCTAGTGCTGGTGTCAAATAAGGAACCTTTTAACCTGGTTCTTGACGACACGTGACCGGCCAGCGAAGCGCGTCACTATCCAGGATAGTTCTAACCGGAGCCTGGGACGCGAAGCACGGCAATCTTAATACTTATACAGTGCCCACAGCTAAGTATATTCCTTTATGTGATGCATCGGGTAAAAGTTTAATGGTAGCTGGGTGATTGTCCGTTATGACGCACGATAACATCTAATAACAGGTGATTAAATTTTGTCACCTGTAACTCTCAATTTCTTGAATATAGATTTAGTAGTTAAATTAGTTGCTACTGTAAATATTTGTCTTGCAGCACGAGAGAGGAACTCTCCATGCCGCCTTCTCCCATGTTAATCCGTCCCTTTCGTCAGCCGACTGAGTCCAGAGAATAAGAGGAACTTCCATGGCTTGTCTAAAGGAATCATCATTAAGCTAAGATTATATTTTCTTTATGATTCTATTGCAATTTCTTATGTGCAGAATCCCTCAGGATTAATATGTGGTTTACTGTAACTCTCATTACTATACTTATAATCTATGTTCCCATCTATGGTAATGATAGCAGTTTCAATATAATTTTTATAGGATTAGATTATTATTAATTGAATTAGTGAACGAACCACACTAATTCCTGGACGTACTTACCTCCAGTAATAACCCCCCAATGTAGGTGCTTGAGGGTTTGATTCATTTAATAATACAGCCCATTAATTATTTCTATGATTATATTTTCTAGTATTTTATCCATAGTTACTGGTTTCATCTAGGAATTATCTAATGATCAGAAATTCTCAGTTTCCCTCTTTACTATAAAAGCGGGTGGTCCTTCGTAATTTAATTTACTACATTAATATTTAAATAATCAGATTCAAGCCCCAAATATCCCACAGGGGTTCAGCGTCAAGACAGATGGGTTCATACTAGATACAGTGGAAGTTCTGGTTGTGATGGTAGGGGTAGTACCGGTGACAGTGGAAGCTCCGGTAGTGATGGTAAGGGTAGTACCGGTGACCGTGGTAGCTCCGGTAGTGATGGTAAGGGTAGTACCGGTGACCGTGGTAGCTCCGGTAGTGATGGTAAGGGTAGTACCGGTGACCGTGGTAGCTTGGTTGTAGTGACCCAAGTGGAGGTAATGGGGTGCTGGTAATAGCTCAATTGGAGGTGATTCGTTTCCTCAGATGATTTCGGGGCTTTTTTTTTAGTGTCCCCGCGGCCATGTCCTAAACCAGGCTTCTACCCCCAGGAAGCAGCCCGTGACAGCTGACTAACACCCAGGACCTATTTTACTGCTAGGTAACAGGGGCATAGGGTGAAAGAAACTCTGCTTATTATTTTTCCCCGGCGCCTGGGATCGAACCCAGGACCACAGGATCACAAGTCCCGCGTGCTGTCCGCTCGGCCGACCGGCTCCCATGGGATGCTGGTAGTGATGGGTGCTGGTAGTGATGGGTGCTGGTAGTGATGGGTGCTGGTAGTGATGGGTGCTTGTAGTGGCCAAGAAGGTGATGATGGGTGCTAGTAGTGTCCCAAGTGTAGGTGAAGGGTGCTGGTAGTGTCCCAAGTGTAGGTGATGGGTGTTGGAAGTGGTCCAATTGGAGGTATTGGGTGACGGTAGAGACCCAAGTGGAGGAGATGGGGTGCAGATATTGGCTCAAGTGAAGGTGATGGGTGCTGATATTGACCCAAGATGAGGTTATGGGTTCTAATAGTGGCCTAAGCGAAGGTAATGGGTTGAGGTAAAGACTCGAGTGTAGGTGATGGGTTGCAGGGAGTGGTCCACGTGAAGGTGATGGATGCTGATAGTGGCTCGGATGGAAGTGATGGGTGCAGATAGTGGCCCAAGTGGAGGTGATGGGTGAAGGTAGCAGTAACACTGACAGTAGTAGCTCAGGTAGCGATGGTTAGAGTGGTATCAATGCCAGCGTTAGCTCTGGTAGTCAGGATTGAGGTATTACCAGTGACAGCGGTAGGGATGGAAGGGGTTGTAACATTGTAAGTGGTAGTGAAAGTAGTGATGGTAAGAGTGGTAGCTCTTAATAAGTGCCAGTGGTAGCTGTGACAGTGATGTCTGGGGCAGTACCAGTGACAGTGGAAGTTCTGGTAGTTATGTTTGTCGTTGTACCAGTGACAGTAGGAGCTCTGGTAGTGATTTTTGGGGTATTATAAGTGCCAGTGGTAGCTCTGGTAGTGATGGTAAGGGTAGTACCAATGCCAGTGGAAGCTCTGGTAGTGATGGTTGGGGTAGTATCAATGCCAGTGGTAGCTCTAGTAGTGATATCAAGGGTAGTAACAGTGACAGTGGAAGTTCTAGTGGTGAGTGTAGGGGTAGTACCAGTGTCAATGGTAGTGATGGAAGGGGGTAGTACCAGTGGCAGTGGGAGCTCTGGTAGTGATTGTAGGGGTAGTACTATTGACAGTGGTATCTCTGGTAGTGATAGTTGTGGTAATACCAGTGAGAATGGTAGTGATTGTAGGGGTAGTAACAGTGACAGTGGTAGCTCTGGTAGTCATGGTTGTGGTAGTACCAATGACAGTTGTAGTGATGGAATGGTTAGTAACAGTGACAGTGGTAGTTCTGGTAGTGATAGTAGGGGTAGTACCATTGACAGTGGTATCGCTGGTAGTGATTGTTGCGAAAGTACCAATGGCAGTGTTAGCTCTGTTAGTGATGATAGGGGTATTACCAGTGACATTGATAGCTATGGTCGGTATAGGGGAGCCGGTCGGCCGAGCGGACAGCACGCTGGACTTGTGATCCTGTGGTCCTGGGTTCGATCCCAGGCGCCGGCGAGAAACAATGGGCAGAGTTTCTTTCACCCTATGCCCCTGTTACCTAGCAGTAAAATAGGTACCTGGGTGTTAGTCAGTTGTCATGGGATGCTTCCTGGGGGTGGAGGCTTGGTCGAGGACCGGGCCGCGGGGACACTAAAGCCCCGAAATCATCTCAAGATAACCTCATGATGGTAGTGATGGTTGGGGTCGTACCAGAGACGGTGGTAGTTCTAGAACCGGTGACAGTGGAAGCTCCGGTAGTGATGGTAGGGATAGTACCGGTGCCAGTGGTAGCTCTGGTAGGGATAGTGCCAGTGGTAGCTCTGGTAGGGATAGTACCGGTGCCAGTGGTAGCTCTGGTAGGGATAGTACCGGTGCCAGTGGTAGCTCTGGTAGTGATTGTAGAGGGTAGTAGCACTGAGAGTGGTAGCTCTGGTAATGTTGGTTGGGGTAGTAACAGTGACTCTGGTAGCTCTTGTAGTGATATAGTGGTAATACCAGTGATAGTGGAAGCTCTGGTAGTGATGGTTGGGGTAGTACCAGTGACAGTGGATCGTCTGATAGTGATTCTAGTGATAATAAAAGTGTGTGAGTTGATGTGTGAATTGATGGAGAGGCACAACTGATCTCATGTATGATGGTGATGATTTTTTTGGTGAATGATTGCTGGCTGCCAGTAGCAGCAAGCTGTAGCTGTTGCACAACAGGTGGAAAGAAGTTACCATGCGAGGACAGAGTTCCAGTCTTGGTGCCGCATCCGAAGAGCAGTCCTGTGGTGACTTGCAGATGTGTGGTTGGTAGAGGAGCTTGTAGTTGATGTATACAATGATTTTGTCCTGGTTGGCAGAGGTATTGGTGTCAGATGTTGACTTGTTAGCTCATAGTTCGTGCCTGTTATATATATATTGGATCAGGAGGTTCCCATTCCTCATCACGTAAGAGGGTTACTAAGTATCCTGGGCCGTGGGTAATTCCTGTTGTGGATATACCGCCTGACGTTTTGTTGTAGTTATATCCTCCTTGTTCTGTGGGGCTGATCTCGTATCTCATAGTTGGTAGTGTTAAATGCCGTAAAGGGATCGTCACGACTCGGTAAGTGTTCTTCATTTTGTATAACTGCGTTACTGGGAGTTTGTGGAGGCGTCTATTCAACGGTTCTATCTTTAATTGAGTGAGGAGACTGTCATTCCTAATTTTGTCGGCAAGTGTCACTCATGCTACAAATCTGAGTGCTCTATTTTGAACTCTTTGAAGTTTCAACATATTTGACAGTTAGTAAGAGCAAGCGGGGTGTATGGGTATTCTAGGATTGATCGAATAAGCATTCTGTATAGGTGTAGCTTCACGTGTTCTGGAGCTTGCCTGAATCGGTACAGCCGAGCTAGTAGTGCTTTGGCTAAGGCCTCTTTTTTACTGATATGCTCGGTGGAATTCAAAAGTACCGATATTACATTGCCCAGAATTGTAGTGGAGTTCTTAACCTGTATTAACGTGCCACCGATTTTGATGACCTCGAGTGAACTAACCCAGCTGCCCACCGAGCACAATTCAATCTAGTTAGTGTTTGTCACGATTTTTCAGTCTTGTTCCCAACTTGCTGTGGCACCTAGTTCCTCTTTCGTCTTCCTTATGATTGACTCGTGTTTAGTTCCTTGGCCAGCAGGCATCGACGACACTACATGAATGACATTGTCCGCGAACTGAGTGATAATAGTGTCGTTATAAATAGGGCGTGGCAATCGTTACAAAGAGATTGAGGAGCAATGGGCTGATGCACGATCCCTAAAGAACTCCAGCTGTCGGGGAAAAGGCTTCAGCTTCCTTGTTGCTAAACAGTGGAATTATTGATCTTAGAATTTTTTTTTACATGTCTTAAAAGGGTCCAGTTGTGGTGTGGTATGGATTGCAGCTTGAAGAGCAGACCATTATGCAATAAACTATCAAAGGCCTTGTTGACATCTCTGGTTGATATTAATGCTGTTTCCTGATACTGTCTGCTGCATCATAAATTATATTGATGGCATTTTGTGTTGTTCTGCGGTTCCTAAAACCAAACTATTTTTCAGTATCCAGGTGGTGGTACTCCATGTAGTAGTTAATACGATTTGAGAGCATTTTCTCAAAGCAATTTCCTGTCGACTCCAACAGGGAGATAGGCCTATAGTTTCCAGGGACATGTCTGCTTTTGCCTGGCATCGGAATAAAGATCATTTTGGCAGTTTTAAATGCCTGTGGGAAGTGGCCTGAGACGAGGATGGCGTTGAAGACATTGAGCATGGACTGCAAGTTAGTTGAGAAGCAGAAGCTTCAGTTAGTTGACTGTTATTCCTGATAAACCTGGCGCTTTGTTCCTCGTTTTCTTTAATACTTCTAGCAGTTCCCGTAGGGTGATGGGTCGGGTGATCGGGTGCTCTGGGTCAAGGAGTGCGGTGTCCACTAGAGGCCTGCTAGACAGGTTCTCCACATTTTCAGCAACCCATTGGTTGACTGTACGGAGGTTGTCATTGTTGATTTGGCTGTTGTTTTCTGTAAAGATTTCCACCCAAACTAATCCCCTAAGATTAGCCTGCAGGTGTGCATCTTCCACTCTGGTGGTTATTACCTCGTTGTTGTCATCAGTATATGTATAGCTGAGATGCGAAAGCGGTGTCTTTGACGATCCTAGGAGTTGTCTGATCTTTCCCCAGACTCTGGCAGGTTCTCTCTTGTACTGGTTCACTTGGTTGACTAGAATACCCCAAATATGACGTTTGTGTAGGAGTGTGAGGCCTAAGACTTCACGTCTGAGGGACTGAATAATTTGGAAGGATGGCTGGCCTGTGCGTAGGCGCCTCACATATTCTTGCTGGTAATGCCTCATTTTATCCTTGATCTCTCTGGTCGGTTTGTATTGCTGAATTGTTCTGGTGTTAGTTAGGTCACAATTCATCATAGTTGCTTCAGTAATGAGAGAATGTATGAAGGCAATTACTGTGTAAATGTCCTGGAGCGGTTGATTGTCAAGATCAGCGGTTGGATCCGTGCCAAGGAACTCCATTTATTGGCGAAATCCAGCGTGTTTAGTTTGGGTCTGGTGCGTCCCAGAATTCTAAAGGGAGATGCTTGGAGGTGGAGAATAACAGGTATGTGATCTGAACCCACATCATTACCTGGGAGAATTCAACTGTGAAAGATATTGCATTCAACATTCGTCAGTATAATATCAGGTTTTCCTTGCTGGTTACCTACAAATAATGACGACTTTATATAGACTGTTACAGTGTCACCTTTCTTCTACCAAAATAAAAACATCAGAATACGTTTTATGCTTACTGGGAAATAGTTAATTCTAATGAAAACACATTGATTTTTATAATTTTTAATGGAAACAACATTTCCATATGCATTTTAATATTATAACTAACATGAATCTCGCCATTTCGTTTGATGTAAAAATCATCGAATTTGGTAATATATTGACGTTTTTCCATGATGTGTGATTTTAGGCAAAAACAATCGAATTTATTAATATTTCCATACTATTTCATGTTTTCTCACAATATGGGATTTGACAACTTACCTCGCAATTTTTGCAATGTATTGAATATTTTAACTAGTGTTCTTGCATTTGATTAATTAAAAAAATCATCGAATTTAGAAATATATTTACTTTTTTCATATTTCTTTGCTCTATGTGTTTTAACCAACTATAGACAATTTGGGCAATATTTTGGTGTTTTCCCACATTTATATGAATTTTCAGATAATGTTAATAATTAAATAAACATATAATAAATATGATGCTAACCTAAAATTGATGTCAAATTTATCCTCAATATTTTATTTTCAATCAATCATTTGCACCTTCTTGAAATAGTGGGAGATATAGATTAAGAGAGATATGATGTTTTTATTGCATATTTGAATATTTCAGTATTATTTGTATTGGAAAAGACATTTTCATGTACATTTTAATGATCTAAATAACACGAAATCTCGCCCTATGATTTGAAGTAAAAATCAGCAAATTTTTTATTATATTGCCGTTTTTTCACGTTTTCCATGTTTGTGATTTCAAGTAAAAATAATTAAATTTACTAATTTTTCGATTCAATTTTACGTTTTCTCACGATATGTGATTTGACCTACAAGTCTCAGAATTTCGCAATATTTTGCATTTTTTACCTAATTTTGTTGCATTTTTTTTTGCTTTCAAATTTATCAAATTTAGCAATATTTTTCTGACATTTTCATCATTCCTTGCTTTATGCGATATAATCCAAATATCGACGATCTAGACCTTATTTTGTCGGTTTCTCACGTTTTTAAGAATTTTTTGTTAATGTTAATAATTAAATATATATATATATATATATATATATATGTCGTACCTAGTAGCCAGAACGCACTTCTCAGCCTACTATGCAAGGCCCGATTTGCCTAATAAGCCAAGTTTTCATGAATTAATTGTTTTTCGACTACCTAACCTACCTAACCTAACCTAACCTAACTTTTTTGGCTACCTAACCAAACCTAACCTATAAAGATAGGTTAGGTTAGGTTAGGTAGGGTTGGTTAGGTTTGGTCATATATCTACGTTAATTTTAACTCCAATAAAAAAAATTGACCTCATAAATAATGAAATGGGTAGCTTTATCATTTCATAAGAAAAAAAATAGAAAAAATATATTAATTCAGGAAAACTTGGCTTATTAGGCAAATCGGGCCTTGAATAGTAGGCCAAAAAGTGAGTTCTGGCTACTAGGTACGACATATATATATATATATATATATATATATATATATATATATATATATATATATATATATATATATATATATATATATATATATATATATATATATATATATATATATATATATATATATATATATATATATATATATATATATATATATATATATATATATATATATATATATATATATATATATATATATATATATATATATATATATATATATATATATATATATATATATATATATATATATATATATATATATATATATATATATATATATGTATATATATATATATATATATATATGTATAAATATATATATATATATATATATATATGTCGTACCTAATAGCCAGAACGCACTTCTCAGCCTACTATTCAAGGCCCGATTTGCCTAATAAGCCAAGTTTTCATGAATTAATGTTTTTTCGTCTACCTAACCTACCTAACCTAACCTAACCTAGCTTTTTTTGGCTACCTAACCTAACCTTACCTATAAATATAGGTTAAGTTAGGTTAGGTAGGATTGGTTAGGTTCGGTCATATATCTACGTTAATTTTAACTCCAATAAAAAAAAATTGACCTCATACATAGAGAAAAGGGTTGCTTTATCATTTCATAAGAAAAAAACTATAGTAAATATATTAATTCAGGAAAACTTGGCTTATTAGGCAAATCGGGCCTTGAATAGTAGGCTGAGAAGTGAGTTCTGGCTACTAGGTACGACATATATATATATATATATATATATATATATATATATATATATATATATGTCGTACCTAGTAGCCAGAACTCACTTCTCAGCCTACTATTCAAGGCCCGATTTGCCTAATAAGCCAAGTTTTCCTGAATTAATATATTTACTATAATTTTTTTCTTATGAAATGATAAAGCAACCCTTTTCTCTATGTATGAGGTTAATTTTTTTTTATTGGAGTTAAAATTAACGTAGATATATGACCGAACCTAACCAACCCTACCTAACCTAACCTAACCTATATTTATAGGTAAGGTTAGGTTAGGTAGCCAAAAAAGGTAGGTTAGGTTAGGTTAGGTAGGTTAGGTAGACGAAAAAACATTAATTCATGAAAACTTGGCTTATTAGGCAAATCGGGCCTTGAATAGTAGGCTGAGAAGTGCGTTCTGGCTATTAGGTACGACATATATATATATATATATATATATATATATATATATATATATATATATATATATATATATGTCGTACCTAGTAGCCAGAACGCACTTCTATGCCTACTATTCAAGGCCCGATTTGCCTAATAAGCCAAGTTTTCCTGAAT